ACTCCTATTTTGTTGTTCATGTTTAAAGTCAAATTAATTCACTAAATTCCCTCGCATAGCAAATAAATTATTATGTCTCTTATTGCATGTATATTTATGTTCATTTGTTTGTTTCAGTTGCTGTGTGTTTCACATCACCCATTGTTTCATTCCATAGTTTCATGTTTAACGTCTTAAGTTTATTTGAATGGTTATCGATTCGGTTTTGATTATGAGTTTGGCAAACTATTTCTTATTGTATAAAATTTTTAACATATTGGCTTTCCTTTTAATAAATGAAAATAAATACTCAAATAAAAGCAAATATCCCGAAGTAATTCATTAATTCCTGTTTTCTGTGACGAGCACTAAAAGAGTAATTTTCAGTAAGTGAACAACGAGTTTGTTCCACCCGCTAGTGCGCCCGGTTACAGCGGAGCCGTCCGACACAGTTCTGATTTAGACACAGTTTTCATCTGAATGGAATGGCAACATCGTCTGTAGATGATTTCAAGTAACGCTGAACCAGCATTGCCAGATGGTATATTTCTATACCAGATTTCACAAATCTGGTATTTTCAAAAGGTGTCTGGTATGAATATTTTAGATCTGGTATATATGCCTAAATCTGGCATTTTTCTGATTTACTGCAAATTTACTGCATTTAGTTCCACCTCTGAAGTTAGAACTTCCTCCAGCGTAGGCGTGGATTATATTATTATTTATATGAATTGCCTTCAGAGCGGCACGATTAGAGCTTTCCCGCCATTTTTGGAACTGCAAGTTTACCGAAAGTTTTCATGTCAACCGGAACTCGAACACCACAGCAGAGAGTATTTTATGCAGCTAATGAATTTCGCCAACTTTGCTGGAAGAGAGATTATTGAATTTTAGAAAAAAGGCAGGATAATTCAATGAAGGCTGGTGGCAGAGCTGCAATCTTGATACTCTATTGTGATTCGTGCTATGATAACCTACGTAACAATTTTCATATGATAGTTATAATTATTGCACATTCAAAGTAAACATGACATAACATAACGCACCCAGATTTGGAAACCGTTATTGCTCAAATGAAGCAAAAATAAATGACAGACCATTGACTTATCTTGCAAATATATATAATCATATTATGTATCACATAGCATAATTACGCTCTGTAATTATGCCCTATTGACCTAATTTGAATAGTCCATTTACACGCATTGTTATTAGGTATTGATCGTGTCGATTTTGCCGGCCGGGAGGATGTCGGTAATGTAAATGTAGTCATAACATTGGCATGCAGGATCGTACTGTTGACATACAGGTTCATTATCATACCCTACTTGCCGCAACCAGTCCAGTCATTCATTAGAAGGCACCGATGGCACATCTAAAGCCATGTTGCGTTTGTTGCCTTCTTTAGTTCTGTAATTCATGTCCGATTGAATTGTGATTTATGAATGAATATTCATCACTGTGCTGACTCTTAGAACCTGAGTCCTGAGTTGACGCGGTAGCAATCTAGTTTCGTATCCAACCACAACACAGTGCGGATACACGTTTGTGTGTACGGTACAGTGTGATTACGTAATTTGCATTGACCGTGATTGACGCGCGTCCATATTTAAACTATTTTAGCTTTCTAAAAGTACGGCGCTGTCGGCGCACGGCGCATTTTTTTTACCGGCATAGTATGGCGCACCGCGCAGGTCGCTAAAATGACAATATAAATTCCCGCGCACCAGGTATGGAATATATCTACTTGGCGAGCCGCGACTGAATTTTTTGAGCCGTGATTTTATGGATTTGCCAGCCGTGATTCCATTCACCGAGCCGTGAGTTCCATATCTCGGCCATGAAAAGCCATTTACAAGGTGCGAATTTATTTACAAAGTCCATGCACGTGTTACCCCAAATCTCTAATTTAACCCTTAAACAGTCAAACGGCAACAATAAAATTTGTGTCTACTGTAAGTTCAGCACACGTTAATGCAGTCTGATCGCTTTGACATGACCGCAACTATGCGCGATCTTCAACAAAACGTTTCATTGATTTGTTTACATTACAATGTTTATGTTTTTTCTGCAAGATATTTTTGGCGGGAACGGTAAAGCAATGCGGATTGCGGAAATTGAAAACTTTATGAAATGACATGTTTGCGAAGTGCAAACCGCGATTTTTTAATCAAACAAAAATTTATGACATTCGAGCCGCGAGATTTCATACCTACTGAAATTATATGATATTTGAGCCGCGATATTTCAGACAAAAATAGGACTTTTCCAGACTAGCCGCGCACCTGGCACATCTTCCTGACCATGGAGGTTAGGTTGAGTCTGCTTAGCTAGCATAGTGGCAAACCAGTGATTTTTTAGAATCAGTTCATTTTTAATTTCCTCATTTACTCAAGAATCAAGATTTTAACAGATTTCTTATGTATGATAATTCTGGTATCCAAGATACTTTACTGGTCTACTTATAGGACTCAAAAATGAACTTGAGGAAGAGTCTAAAAAACTCTCTGCTTTGCCAATATGTTAGCTAGATTTATTTTGGGTGGAGAAATATTACAACTTACATAAGTTAGGCCAGAAGGAGAAGAGGTTTGGCAGAAATATGTTAGGGTTACCGTTAGGCCTGAAGTGAATCCTGATGCAGTTGGCCATGCTTACATTTAGCATGCATAAGAGGTGGCTGTGGACATCTGGCATACGATTTTGAGTAGTCGAGTTACTCGAGTACATAGGATACAGTGTCCTCTAGTGTTCTTACCTACCTCCCACGTAAAGCAGTATGAACTATGAACACAACTACACAAGTGAGAAGTTGGGCAAAGAATGAAGGATGGCCTGGGCCTAATGTCACGCACACCGTACGACTGTTGTTCCTATGGGAAAAGTCTATGTCCACCATCGCGGACACCCTCGATCTTTACAACTTTATGGCCAGTAATTTGTACCTCCTAAAATTATTCGGAATTTGGTGCTGCATTGCTAATTGCTAAAATTATGCTCATGTTTGTACCAAACTGACCAATAAACATACATCCCTAATGTTATTGTCAGTTTTCTGGAGTACCGTAGATTGGAGCCCATTATTGTATAAAACAGTTGCAAGAAACCAATAGGAATTTTCACGTAGTCTTAGACTCTATTTTAATTCAAGCCAAGCCACACATTGAAAGCGGAGCATTAGCTGAAATGCGTTGAAATAAGTCAGGCAAATAGCTGTGGTAGCTACGAACATATGTAGAACAGCCTCCCCGATGACATCGTTGGCGCTCCAAGCGTGAACGCATTCAAGAACAGACTAGATAAAGCTATGGAAAAATATATGTTCAGATTTGAAATGCCTAGCACCATATCGAACCCGGTGGAAGTCGAGTAGCTATTTCAAACTTTCGTCAGCTGTGAAAAGATACGGTCAAATGACACGATTTTAGATCTTCTGTGAACAAGGCACGAAAAGGAAAAGAATCGGCGACAGGCCACATCAGGCCTACACTGCAGCGCCGAGATCACTAGGTTATGTTATATCTTGGTCGCTATTACGCCAATCTGATGCTTACGTTTGCTAGTCATATGACTTCAAAGTCCAAGCTAAGAAGGAAGATGGGCAGAGACGAGACTATAGGTTTGGGGAACTGTATTTGGTGGAATCTGTTAGACAACTGAAAGAAAAAGGTTTTCTGGCCTTACATGACATACTATTGACAATACAATAGTTCAATGTGAATTTGATTGTACTGTAGTACGTAAACACTTAACAGTTTATTTGACGACCCTAGCTACAACACACGCTCACGACTTTCAGAGTGCCTTACTGCTGCTATTCTTTCCCCATATACCTTTTCTCGATATCACTTTCTGCCGCTGATCCCGATTTCATTGTTTGAGTCCCAACGAGGAGCTAATCAATTATGCCTTTGCAATAGTATAATCAAAGTTTTGTTAGCGCAGATCGGAGCTTGCCAGGATATTTTATGTTTGAAATGGTGCGAAATCTATTTTCTTTTCCTATTTTATTTACAATAAAAAACATATTTATTTATATATTTGCGTATTTTGGTTTGCAATAAAAATAAGTTAGATTACAGTTACTGTTTGTTAGCATCATTAAAATAACACGATCACCGGTGCACGACGCTTTCTCGAGATAAAGTACATAATCCTACAGGCTACAGCTTAGGGAAGGAGTCTGTCAAGTTAGGACGGTCGGCGTTAACGCTTACTCCGGCACCGTTGTGTGTTACCGTCACCGAGTAGGATATTCCATTGTATAGCTTCGGTAAACAACCTTCATTTGGATATAAATAATATAGAACAATGATCAACGTGTTAACATTACCCTCGTCAGTGCTGGAGCGCAGGATTGGAACTTAGACCCTCGGGTCAGGGCTCGGCATAATGCTTTACCAAGGCTACAGTAACTTTTGCAGATGCATTGCAAGCGAATTGGCTTTTCATAGTTAATTTTTTATATTCTGTGCTAGTAAGCCAAATTCACCCATGAATTTTTCATTAAAACCACCTTAAAAGTGAACAGGATGAAAAATTCACATCTTCCCCAACTTTTTACAACATTGTCGAGAGATTAAAGGGGTTTCATGAGATAACGTGGCAGGTTTCGAAACGTTCTCAGTTTGGTACAAAAACGAAGCCAGTTGTCGCTGAAGCGGTTCAACCGAAGTACGAGTACACATGTCAATTCAGTCACTAATAGCACTCAAGTAGAAAGTTTGTCACTGTCACTGTTTCACACTCGCGCCTTACCTTACTCTTTCATTCCTACTCGTTTGGATGTTTTGGTGGCAATGGAGAAAGAAAGAGCAAAGCAGAAAGGACTAAGCTAAACCCCCTCCTTCAGCGAGAGACCGGTATTTAAGAAAATTGTTCGACAATAACGATGTTGATCACTACCAAGTGTTTAGTGTCAGCCAATACACCTTGGAAGAATTCTACACCTTTCAAGACTTTATTTTATATTTTAACATATTATTATTATTATTATTATTATTATTATTATTTATCCTTTTAATATTATTACTTTTTATTCTTACTTATGTAGCTTATCTACTGGCACGTAACAGATTTTGCCCCAGTGAAATATATAGTACGGTATTTCAAATATTACAGTGACATTCAAAACTTTCTGCTTTCAGGTGTTGCACTCAATGCGGCTGAATGAAAAACTGCTGAAACCTTGGGTCATTGCTGATGCTGACGGCACCATCATATCAGCTCACTGCGACTGTGGCAGGGGTTGGAGAGACGTGCACACATGTTGCAGCGGTGTTATTCAAAGTCGATGTCATTGTAAGTTACAGAGAGAAAACAACAGTCACTTGTCGACGTCTTGTGATAACGTTGAGAACATCGCTGCCCTGGCCTTCCTTCACTGCTGATAAACTGAAGAAACGCATTCCATTGCCAAGTTTTCTGTTTAAATAGTCGTGAGAACGACTGGTACATCCAACAACGGCGCAGTAGCGTCCCATCTTCAAGCAAAAACTTCAATAAGATTAAACTTCAAGCGCAGTAGATTGAACACGTAGGCGAAAGCTAGACCATGCAACAAATATGGCGGCCGACCCATATTGCATCTCGCGATTTGGGGCCATGACGTCATCCTTGCAATCCCGTATATACGAGAAAATTAAAATTGTATCATTAAACAACTAGAATTGCTACGTGAACAATTGACTTATTAATGTCAAATTTCAGACCTGGAAGCGCAGTAGATTGAACACGTAGGCGAAAGCTAGACCATGCAACAAATATGGCGGCCGTACCCATATTGCATCTCGCGATTTGGGGCCATGACGTCATCCTTGCAATCCCGTATATACGAGAAAATTAAAATTGTATCATTAAACAACTAGAATTGCTACGTGAACAATTGACTTATTAATGTCAAATTTCAGACCTGGAAAGGCTTCATCTCGGGCGCATTTTCATCTGCATTATTGTCAGCCTGCAAAGAAAGAGCAATCAATGTCTTTTAGTTACCTAGTATATGGCCTGGGAATTTTTTCTAAATTATTTTTTTTTTGTTAATTTTGTTCCCACGAACCGTTATCAAACTGTGTCCTCAAGCAATAGTTTTCAGTGACAAATAAAACTGAAACAGCAAAATTCATCCGAGATAAATACCTCGCATGTTCCTTTGAGACGTTCATAAATGTGTTGCTCTGGAAAGCTTCTATTGGTGAGCATTGTGAGGGTTGTTCCTCTCTGGGTTGAGATTGCAAGCAATATCGTGATGACAACGTTGAAAGGGTACGAAAGCACTGGTAGCTGCGTCTGAAATGGGAAGTAAAAAAAAAGGTTTAGTTTTCATGGCCAGATTATCGACAACAATATAATTTTATAATGTAAGTTTGTGTGTCAAATGATGAATTAAATCTAATAGTAATAACATTCCTCTTTACTTTAGTTCCAATTTCACACAACCGTAAGAGGTTGTGCATTGTAAGGGTTCTAAAAAAACTGCTTTCATAAAAAAATCTATTATTCAGTTCCCGCAAGCACTCACGGGTGCAAAGATATTCATGACTGCCGCCTGGGTGAAGACGGCCATGCAGGCGCCGAGTACGGCAACTACCGCTACATGCAACGACGGCTGCAGGAAGAAGACTGAACCTCCGGCAGCCAGCATGCTGTTGTAGCTCCACAAACCCGCGTACACCTCAGACAAGCTGCCGGGGCTTAGGAAAACAGCTGAAAGGTTGGTAATTTATTTATTCTTATTTGAGATAAAAATAATTTTATAAATTTCTATGAGAAGCAAATCATTGCGACAATATAGGTTACTGGAATTTATAGGGGTTTGCTATCCTTACACATGCTAATGAATAGGGGTTTGAAGAAATTAATTTCAAATGCCAATTGAGATTTTTAGTCTGTTCAAATTGCTAAGAAAAATATTTCCATTTTTATTTTCATTATTGATGTTTTAGTTCGAAGTCACTGTCGCAAAAAGTAGCTTGTAGTTGTAGACAACTATTACACGTCTGAGTTGAGCATGTTCTTCTAATTCTATTGATGGAATAAAACTTACCTAGACAACTGCCGATGATGCTTCCGAGATAGAAAACCACAGATAAGATGGGAGAGTAAAGGAAGAAGGCGAGCCAAATTATAATGGACGACGCCATGTTGCCAGCTCCGTACACCTGTCCCGCCGCCAGCACGCTGCCCTCCAGCACCTGATGCGTGTACCAGGGATGGACTTAGCCTTTTGTGGACTGCCGGTATCTCCTGCTACAGGAGCCTTAATATCTAAACTCGCGTAAGTACACGTAGCAGCCGCTTTCTCGTATGTGATTGGTGAGTTTAGTTTGAAAAACCGCCAGTGCTTGCCTGACGGAATTACGAACACGTAACCATTTCGGTTTCTGAAGGAACGTTCACAGGCCTCTAGACTCGGGTAGCATTGGTGACGGTCAATTGATCCGTTTCCACAGTTTAAAACTTCAACAACGGATGATATCTTTCGTTAACGAGACTTTGATACGACTGATATATACGACGGTTATTTCATCGCTTTGTATAGAGATAATACGTTCAAAATTTTCCGAACAAGTTAATTATTTCTTCATGTGACCTAGTAATACTCGACGAATAACTCGTTTGTTAAATGAAATTAATGCGGTTTCGGCTTCATCAGAGCGATAATCGAGCTGAATAATATTTACAGTAAAATAATTGAATATGTTCCTACGATAATGATATTTAAGTCGGTAATGTGCGAATAGTTTAGGATGCACTATTTTAACTGAAATCTTCCTACTAAAATATCACGTTAAGCTATTCGGACGCAAAGATCATAATAAATTAAATTAATCCATCTAACATTTTATGTACTCTTTTTATGTACTCTTACCTTTACCCACTGCAATTCAGTTTGATCCCCTTCAAAGACTTCTGTTATATCTTGCGCAAGTGTTCTGAATGCATCGTCGTACATTTGTCCATGCCCCTGCGTGTCAATGCCGTGAATTTTCAAGCCATAACCATACAAGCGGCCTCTCAAGCTAAGCACCAAGCCTGTCGCCACCAGATTAAAAGGTATGGACTGCGCCGGCAATTGGCAAGGGCTCATTAACGAGCTTAGTCCGAGGTCCACATAGCATCTGCACTCAAAGTTAACAAGGTTAAAGGGTGTGTACTGCATGATAACCGACTGGAGCTCTTTAACGAGTTTAGTCTTAGGTCCACATAACATCTACATTGGAAGCCGAAAAAATGATTTGGAGGAAAATGAAAAATGGTAATTGAATTCCAAGTTGATTTCAGCTGAAAGCAATTTGCCGTGAATCTCACATCTGAGTGCATGAAGCGACAGGAACTTAAACAAGATTGATGCTTGATTAAAATTGGACGCCAGCATTGCTGAAAGCGGAACATTATTTTCAAATGTACCAAATAACACAAACTTACGTTATTATTGAGATGGGGATGGAGAGGAGAACATGATAGAAGTGCAGTTTGAGATTCAGCAAGTCTGGCAAGACTGCGGTGCATATGGCGCCGACCAGAAGAGAGTTGAAGGCAGTCAGGCCATCGCATACCAGGTGGTCGGGAGCTCCTTGCAGCTAAACAGGTTCAGTAAGATTTCTTAGAGCAACAAAGAGTTATATGAGTGAAGAATTCTTAGAGCGACATGAACACGAAGAGTTATATGAGTGAAGAATCTTATGTGAAGTCCCTCAAAAATGTTTAATCTACACGAAAATGAAGAATCTTGACAGTCAATATTTTTACACAATATTGTGGCTTGCAAAATATTATTAGACGTTTTTGACAATATTGAACCAATCTTCAATATTTTTTACGAACATAATTGATAGAATTTAATTGAAGCCCCTATTCTATACGAATAATGTAGGTATAGAGTAAAGTGCACGTTTTTCAACTCTTAAAATTAAAATTTTTGAGTGAAAAAACTACAGACGTTAGGTATTATTATAAATACCATTCGAAAATTTAAATTGTAAATTAGTCATAAAATAATTTCAATTTCTTAAAATTAACGAGCTTATAATACCCAACTATACTAACATTCCCTATAATAACCAATGAAATCGCCATCACGCGATATGAATTTTTTAGTATCAGATGATGTGATGATGTCCGCCAGATGAGTAGTTCTCCCACGTTGCGGTATTTAGTTACTGATAACTTATCAATGACTGGGAAGCTGACGTTTGAGTCTATCGTAGTCTAAACAGAAAGCACTATCGCATATTATATCGAAAGCACTATCGCCTTCGGTAAGCTTATGGAAGTGTCTTTCATTTGCTATGAAAGTTTTCAGGTACGGTATATACATATAATTAGTAAGACAAATTATACATATTACAGGGCTTGCTGAGGGTAACACATGTGTGTTCATTCACGTGAGCTGATCTTCTCGCTGGATCTCATAACACGTGGTTTTGAGTCCTGTAAACGCGTGGTTTTTGAGTCCTGTAAACACGTGGTTTTGAGTCCTGTAAACGCATGGTTTTAATCCTGTAAACGCGTGGCTTTGATCCTGTAAACACGTGGGTTTATGTCATGCAAACACTTGGTTAGTCCTGCAAACGCGTGGCTTTAATCCTGTAAACACGTGGGTTTATGTCATACAAACACTTGGTTTTGAGTCCTGCAAACGCGTGGCTTTAATCCTGTAAACACGTGGGTTTATGTCATACAAACACTTGGTTTTGAGTCCTGTAAAAGCGTAATTCTGAGTCCTGTAAACACGTGATTTTGAATCATGCAAGCGCGTGATTTTGAGTCCTGTAAACACGTTGTTTTGAGTCCTGTAAACGCGTGGTTTTGAGTCCTGTAAACACGTGGTTTTGAGTCCAAGTAGTTTTTTTTTTGTATACTCACTTTGCTGCATATTACTGCCACGGTTGCAGATAAGAGGCCAGCTACTCCAACGATAACGTCGCTTGCCATCATGGCCGCCATGATGAGAAAACCCGACAGCGGGTTGTTAGCAAACGCCACCTCCATGAATTCGATACCAAGTCTCATTATTATCTCTACATTAGGTACATTTTTAGTACAAAAAATTATAAAGACTACAAACTGCAAAATTAATTTCAATTAGAATCTTATTAGCATCTGGAGATGCAAATGTAAGGTACTGAGAAAACTCTGAATTTCCCTGTAATTTATTTCCAACAGTGATATTTTAGGCTTAATATAAATCTTCCGCTGCACAGATCTGGGAACTCGAATGAATAATTTTTGGAAATCAAGAATGGTATGATGTCACAACTAATAAAACCCGAGTTTGTGTTTTTATCCAAATTATCGATACTCACGACTCCGAACGCACGCAAAACAGCGTTCGTCAACTTTGCTGGGAACCAGGGCGACCACCAAGACTTGCTGAAGAGGAAGCAGCGGATGGCGTTCATGTCCCCGAACCATCGCAGCCATTTGCGAACCTTAATTATGAATTACTTAGAACGACTAGTAACGATTATGACTTCATTAGTAATAATGTATGCATATATTATTATCAATCAATGAATTTACTAGCAAAGAAAATGTAAATAAATTTCTTTACTTTATTTTACTGGGTCTTCAATTTTGGCTCATGTAGTTTACGTGAAAATGCGATTCAATTTGACTAAATAATATAAGTACTTGCATATTATCTATACAATAATTGTGAAAATGCCATTATGTTTGCAATAATAGGGAAATAATAGCGAGCAGTAATGTGTTTCACAATTACCTGTGAATTACGTCGATTGGCCATAGATGTAATATTATATAAGTTAATTTAGCACGCTCAACAGGTTTCAGTGTCTTATAAAAAGCGTATATTTTTGTAATTAACAAGGTTGAAATAGATTATTTCTCCGCAATTGAACAAATGGCGAGTGATTGAGAAATTTACGTGTTCTATGAATGATTTTGATCACTCTTTTATAATTTAAATTTCTACATGTTATAATGTGACCTGAAACGTAGAAAAATATTAAACATAAATGTTGTAATCTTTTAACATTAATGTCATTACTGTAAGTCGTAAGAAAAAAATATTGACTTTGCGAAATATGTCCTATAATAAAATTGTTGACAAACAGTATTACGTTTCCGTATGAGCTCTGTTTGTTAGTTTAGAGTTTGAGTCTGAAGTTGCCAGGCGTTGTTGTTAATTGGCCTGAATTATACGTTCTTCGCTTGCCTAGTCACGTAAGACGCCGAACTTAATTAGAATTTTAAAGTATTTCCACGTGTACTCAATATAGAACATTAGGTGTGCACAACTCTAATTTGTAAAACAGATTTATACAAAAAAAAAACAATTGCTTATTTTTTGTCCTACTTTAATCATATACTATAATTGTCACTTAAATCCACCAATTCTGATATAAAATTATGTATAAAAAATTATACGTGCAAAAGTTTGAATAAATTTAAATTCCAAGCATTCTTCGATGCAACAGTTTTCATTTTTTAGAAAAAAAGTTACAATATACTTCGACGTAAAAATTAAATAAAATAATTAATGTTCAAGAGAACATTTTGACAAAAAATTTAATGTAATAGAGAGATGCACACACCACATTACTGAAGTTTTTTACGGAAATGCATAAAAAATCATTATTACGCTGGATTCTTACAGGTAAAATAAAGCTGAAGGCATAACTGTTTCATTTTAGGTTAGCCTTTAATAATATGGGAGGATCAATTTGTAAATTTTATAAATATATATTTTTAAAGAATTTCCACCTTTTCCGGCATTCGTTTCCTTTCCTAAGTAAAATATATCATTTTATGCGTCAATAAAAAGAAAACAGTTCAGAGATTGTTTTCAAATCCTCGTCACATCAACTATTTGTTAGTACAAAATGATTTGCAATCGAAAAAAATTTATTCGTATTACAATATGCATGCAGTTTAAGACCATGGCAACTGCTGGGAGAAAACACGGCTAAGAATTTAAAAGCAAAGAAAAGTCCACAAAAATTCATATCTTTATTAATTTTGTGGACTTTTCTTTGCTTTTAAATTCTTAGTTAATTTGCGATTTAAGCAAACAAGTGATATAAATTCATTAAAACACGGCTTCTATGTGTGAGAAAGTGTTTGCCGGTCAGTGGGCACTGTCATGACCATGTGTTACCCACTCAATGATCGGTCTTCGACTGAACTCAGCCAACAGTGCAAGGTAGGAAAACAACCTCACATGAATTAATTACCAACAAAGAATGAAAAAAGTGAATTAAACGAAGTGTATTTGATTCAAGTTAACCCATATGTCCGGCATTGCATGTGGCACATTCAGTTGTACAATGGCGTCAAGAAGCTTGTTGTTCTGAATAATTCTTTGAAAACTAAGATAATTTTAAGAATTACAAGGCAAGTAGCGCTCTCTGGAGGATGGTACGTGAATCTCAACGAGATTGCAAGTAAGTTGGACCGAGCATATTTACAACCGCTTGAGCATGTTTCCTAGTACGAGACTACCATTAAAGTTAAGTCATCTGCACTGTAGATATTCATGAATTATTCATACCGATGTATTAATAAATGAGGGCCAATTAAGAAATAAAAAACAGACGTATCGGACTTATTAATTCTCAATACCGTGAATACGTTCAAAAAATTGAATTACATTTTATTTATTATCATTTTGGTTATTTAAATAATATATTTTAAAATCACAATCGAAGCAACCGCTAACGGTCCCATTCACTGCCTGAAAACCAAAGTCTAACTGATCAGAAAACACGTGGGCTACAATACTTTGTAACAGCAGGCAGCTGAGCCTTGACTTGGTAAGCGATTGCTTATCTTGTGTAAAAAATAAAAGAGCACAATAAACGCGTACCTTACGCTGCATACGGACCTTGGAAGTGATTATACTCCAAGCTCTCCGTGTTGGTTTTATGAATGAATGCCAATTCTGTAAAAATTACAGACATTGACCATATTTAAGTGTTCTATTTGGTGATTAAGCTTTTTTAAATGCTCCTAATTCCAAGTTGCAGGCATTTCATCATCGGACTGGAAACCGAAAAAATATATATTTTCACCAGATCATGCCTCGATCAGAGTTTCAAAATGTGTGGTTTTCGGGTGGTTTTTGCATTTCTATAGTCAGCATTAAGAATTAGATATATACAAAAAGCAAAAAATTTCATTCATTACCCCACTCTCATTTTTTAATAACCGATTACTGCTTTACCGTCGAGGAATATCCAGATCGAACTCAGAAAATTTCCAAGTCAAAGCCTTGCAAAACTCAGAGTTTTTTCTGAAAAATTATATCAAGCGATTTTTGTTACCATTCACGTCCTATGCTCCCAAACACGGCACCAAACAAATGCTAAACCCTAGGTATTTGATTTCCTTGCGATTTGCTCAGTGAGATTCTGTCTGACTTGAAAGAGATAATTAGCTCAAGCCGATGCATTTGCGTTTTAGATTAGCTCGAATTTGACGTTTTGCTCAATTCCTTTAATCGTTTCTTATGTTAATAAAATAAGTTATTTCCTTGAGAAAAACTTAGCAGCCCTATTGTAACAAAATAATTTAATAAAGAGCTCCCCATTTGAATATTATCAATCCCATAGGCTAGTTAGGTTGGTGAAGAAAGTCTGTGACAGCTATGGCCTATGAACGGGGCTGAATTACCTTAAAGATTCAGCAGAAAAATTGCTTGAATTTTTTTATACTTTATTCGTTATGAGAATCTCACAATTTTCTTGTTGTTTCAAAATCAATTTTTCAGATCCATGAAGTAAAGTCTGTTCAGTAAAGAAGTAAATTAATTAATTATGACATGCAAACCCGACTATCATTACATCAAACCCGACTTCTCGAAAGTAAATGTAAGTATCCAATTAATTTAAGTAACAGATTAAAAAATTATGCAGATGGCATTGTTAATGACAGGATGTTTTTTGATCATTCTCATACGGAGTACCATTTTGATGCTCGTTAAATGATATTTTCATCGTATTTTTAGGTCAGATACACTACAGTCAATAACATAATAATTGACAGCTTATACCAGTTTGTAGTGAATATGTATAACATGAAGTTGAACACGAGCGTGATGAGATGCTACACAACATCTCGTCACCGAATGCCTTGAGTTTGTTATGGTTTACGCCTGATTAGTGGATCGTTAAACAGAAAGTGAATGTAACTTTAGTGATTACCGGAATTCAATTTTCAAGGTGAAAAGTAGGCGCGAAAATACATAATTCTTTACAGGCTCGAAAACAGTTTTTGAGGGAGTGAGCAGAGAAGGCTCATTTCCTATGTACACATTTTTCTATGTACTCATTTCCGAGAGGGCTCATTTATTATTTTCTCAATATTTTTTTCAGACGTTTTTTTCTTAACTACGATAGTTAAGTTTCAAAAGTATTGACTTGATTCGGGACGACGAAACTTGGAATAACGGGATTCTCATATTACAAAGATAATCTATACTAGCCTAGACCAAACTAACCAGATATATATATACAATGCCCAGTCAAATGAGCTCCGTGTCATCTAGACAAATGTTCGAACAAGACCTCCATGCATGACATTAACCAGATAATTGAACCAATACAACTCCCAGAGTCTCGTTATAAACTGCCATGGAACTCCTTTTGGTGGCTCAGCATTGATCTCACAGTGGCCATACAATCTCATCATTAAGACTCTAGAAAATAAAATCATTTCGTTTGCAAATTAGCCTCTGGTAATGAGACACAATTATGTGTCTCATTACCCTACACAATGGTAAATGAGACACAATTAGGGTGCTTTTCGAGGATGGTACGAGAATCTTCATTGATATTTTTTTGTTCTCATATCTAAGTGATTCAAAATACATTGTGATGCAATGACTAACTTGTTAATTATTGACGGTCATGACCCTAGGTGACGCAAGAAGATTTACTGAAAATAAGATTTTCTAAATAAAAATTTCAATGGCTTTGCCAATGCTGAAATTCACAGAATATACGAATAGGAATTCGACACCTAATTTCTCCGTTTAAAACTTCACAAATTTTGGCAGCATCGGCTCGGTGTTCCCTAACAATGTTAGTTTCAGGTTCCCTTAGAGAGATGAATGTTCATTGGGTCCATAAATGGAGTGAAGAACCGATACGGTATTCTTGAGGATCAGTATTGCCCGAAATGTTTTATTTCGAGAACATGCGGTGATGACTCAAAATTAACTTCTCATGCTTACTAGTTTTACGTCTAATTTATAGCCGTTGAATGTTGTTCCAATGAATTTATCTTACTTTATGGAGTAGTGGAGGTTGATATACGAACAATATTACTCATGTTCTGCAATAAACAATATCAACGGTAATCCTAATTGCAATCTCCTACAATAACGATGGCGCTAACAATAAATTGATCACTTCTTCCTTTGTATTAGAGCCCTATATAGATTCTCCGTAATCTGTGCTAAGTATGAAAAGTAAGGAATCTTATATCACTGTTAACAGTCAGCAAGCGGATCTCATTAAAGAGTAAGATTTCAGTAATTCGGAATTAATAAGGTCGCCAAGCAACCATTTTTACGAGGTTCTGAATGTCATCGGGCAACGTGATTAGAACATGCTTACACAAATTATAATTTGCTAATTATGTTGGAAAATATATAAACATTTTTAGCGTCGATGCCTAATCTTTAGTCTGAGATTCTAGAGGATGACCTAAAATTTTTAGCGGAAAAAATTACAGATTTGTTTTATTCTGTCTTAATATCTCAAGGATATTACTGAAAATACGCATCATATTCTGGCGAATATGTTTGTTTTTGGTTGTAATTATGGATGGCGTTCAAAATTTAAGTCTGCGTTTTGAAGACCGTTTTCAGTCTGCTGTTTGGAAACAACTCCGTCGATGTCATCCATATATTCTATATTATTATTAAATGGTTGACAATGACCATATTTTTTGTCATCGAAACATTGCGTAGTTTCTACTTATGGCAGTCTTTTTTGCTCGATGATTTTCGGTGGTATTTTTCTGGTTCAAATTTGGTCACAGTAGATGTACGCGTTCCGACTCTTCATTCATTTATTTTGGAAATCTTACCTTGTTTTTGAACGTTTTAATAGTAGTTCCTATTTATTTATTTTCATCGCAATCTTGTCAAGACTCCAGCAAATAAAAACTCAACAATTATGTTATAATTTTAAACTTGGATTAAAATTCAATTGACCACAATGTGAAGAGTAAGAATTTTTTCTTATTGGGAGTAGGAAGTGAATTTAATTTATATTTCTCAGTTGAAACAAAACAGTGTAAATTTTGTTTTCAGGTATTGAAAATCATTCAGTGACATGGATGCTAAATTCACAGTTCAGATCCTAAAGAGAAAGTCACAATTGTGCCAGTCATCCTAGCCTGCCATGCTCGTCTCTAATGACGTTTCAGCTGTCGGCAACCCAAGCTTCAGCGTACAAATTATGGCCAGTGTAGAGGATCCGATGCTCAATTCGGGGCCGTGGGGGCAAAGATTGAACTAATTTATGTTTATGATCACACGGTAGTGCTTGTTTATTTATTACAAGCTGTGGCCCACGACACGCGGGGGATCGTGCGTAGCGCCCCGAGGAGTCACGTCATGTGGGGTATCCGTGCAACACGTGGGCCGCTGCGCCTATAAAAGCACGGGACCTGCCTGCGTCGTTCCACTTCTGCAGTAGCGCTGGTGACGGTGACGCGGTCTTCAACACCTCCTCCTCATCCTACTCCTCACTCACCTGTTACTTCCAACTTCTCACTTTTGCACCCTTTCAAAAAGTAAGTACAATTCTGGCTGAGTGTTAGACGTTATGAGATATTTAAATGTTCGGTTCGTTAACCGTAGACTTTTAGAATTTTCGAGCATTGTAACGATGTCCTACTGACTGTTAAAAAATAGTAATTGTTCAACGGAATATCGTAATTGAATTTCACGCAACTACGACTGAAAAAATAACAACAAAATGTTATAAAAATTTCTACCATTAAAAGGTATTTAACTGCAAAACGCGTTAAAAACTTTCTTATATACGTTGAGACTTTTAATTAAAAGTTTATATATATTCCGAAATTTTCATTCCTTTCCGTGAAATGATGATACGGCTGCGTTACTTTTTGCGTTATGGTAAAACTTTAGAAAACGGTGTTTTGCTTTGAAATATCCTATGGGGAAATTTGGAGGAACTTCAAATGTTTTATGGAGAATAATTAATTTGTCCCAAAATTGCCAAAATATCATGTAATTCCCAAACAACATGTGGAAACTTGCAAATTTTAGCAAGTTTCAATTAAAAAATATTTAACCTAAATATTAGGTTAAAAAAAGTCAATTAAAAATATTTAACCTAAATATTTTTCTCCAGAACAAAGTCGCAAATTCTTAAAAAAAAAGTTCCTTCTGCAAAAAAAATGTTAGCAAGCTACCTGGAGATTTTTTGCCAAGGCGGACAGGCTTTCAATTCAGCAGCAATCATTATAAACTTTGTACAATCGTTGGTTACAGGAAAACAAAGGCTTAATTAGTTTCATTCAAGTTTTTACAAACTTCGAAGTATTGCTCAAATTTTTTTGGGCATGTTTCGTAATGATTTTTAGTCCATGTATTCTGCAACGCGTTTTTTTTAAAGTTCGTTATTGTTTTGAAATTTTCAAATACTGTGAGCATTCTATTCTAAATTAAATTTTAAAACCCAAGCCGAATAATCTTGGTCTGATATCTTGGTGACATCATACATCTGCTTTGAAAACCTGGACTTATGACCTCATTTCGTTAGAAGTTTTTTATGTACGCGCGAGTAATTAGAAACGCGGAGAAGCTCTACATCGTAAACAACTTTCACATTACTAATGATATTATTATCACAGTGAAAGAGTTTCAAAGTCAAAACCACTCTTTATGAAGAAATTTGAACGTTTTTGAGCTACTAAACTAACTTTCAAAAATTTCAAAAATTTATAAAATTAACGTATGAATAACTCGTGTGTGTATTTTTTTTAAAGGCTTGGACTCATTTGATACATAAGGCCACCATACACAAAAGTATTATAGCCTCCTTGCTTCAATCGAACTATATTGAATGAGAAGGATTTGATTTAGGATGTAAAAATCATCTTAGACCAATCTTATGTCATCCAGATTTCATCGCAAAGAATAAAGAAGAAATTTGATAACAGGATTCAAAAGTTATAGTTGAACATTTTAACTAAACGTCCTTTTCTCGATATATTTTTTGCGTTTTCTCGTCATCGCAAACTAGTTACACGAATTTAAAGTGATGCACCAATATGGTGCATTGATGACGCCTCCGTTGATGAAAATAAATAAAGTTAATACACCGATTGGTCTCCATTGATATTCCATGAAGTAGTATCCAGTAGAATTCGGTTAAAATTTGGTAGGTTTATCGTTTTTTCGTTGGGGCATTATATCGTTAAGATAGTTTGCATTACTATAGGAACGCTCATTGTTACATTCTGTTGCTGTCGAAGCCTTTGCCACCGTTCGCATAGGAATCGGCGTAATAATATTTGAATTGTTTTTGAGAAGTATTGTTCAGTCTATGATAACCATGGAAATAATCTATGAGTAACTGAGAGTGAGTTCATTTGACGTGTTGGCAGAGGCGAACCCCAGTGACGTCACGGATGATTATTATGCCTATGGAACGCTTGATGCCATTTGCCTTACTGGGAATCTAATTCCTAAGAGCAAAACAATAGCGTTTGGTGTGGCAGATGAAATCTTTAATCAAAATACCAATTAGTACGTAATGTAAATTGATAGAAAGAATCCCATGCATAAAGGAAAAACCAAGGCTTTGCCTACATTAAGCTGAAGTTAAGGTTGAGTTGAATGCCAGTACCAGCCCGAGTATTTTGAACAAATGTTTCGGTCTTCATGAATGCTACATTTTAAAGTCAAGTTTCACTATTACAGAAATCTTAACAGATATTTTTTCAACACTGTGTCCTAAAATTCATTCAGATCAATATTTTCATGTTGACTAACATGGTACAACAAAGATTAACATGCAATAATAAATGATCCTAAAATTTAACAAGTATGAACTTATGACAACTTGTGTAGAGTGAAATTCCAACTAAATTTATATTGCAGGACAGATGGAACTCTTGGAATTTGCAATTTCCAATTGACCTTTAGCAACTTTTTGGCAATAATCTGGCTGCGAATACCAAATATTTTCAGTGCAGCTCAAATTAGTTATAGTAATAAACACCATTTCAGGAAAAATCCTTGAAGGTGTTGCGGGGGCAAGTAATTTAGAATATTCCCACCAAAACAAAAAATAAAAAAATTTTCTCAATTCCTGATGAAAATTCTAACAGCTTCTCTTCTTTAGTTGGGTCAGATGAGAGAGCTATTCATTCACGATTTGCAGCCGTAGATTTTTCTTTAGTTGGTACGTTCCGAAAAAAACAGCATTCTTCCTGATTCATCACAGCGTCGAGATTGAAACTTTCCTCAGAATAAAAATTCTCTCCCGTCTACATGTGTCAATGCATAATTTTTTCTCCTCTGCTAAAATTTTTCAGATCAACGATTGCTCGCCGAGAAAATATTCTCTGATCAGAAATTGACAAATGACTGAGATTTTTTGCCAATTTCGGATGGTGGAACTTGAAAACTAACTGATGGATCTGCTAGCAAATTGTTATTTATTATCTCATGAGCAAATTCTGCAATTTTCACCCTTGGTTTAGCTTGCAGTACAATTTATGCTCTTTTGCATATATTCGTTCGAAAATTCATTTGAATAACTACAAATTTTCTCCAACTGCAATTGGAAGTGACTGTGAGATTTTACGGGCTCTAAATTATCATATTATTAATTTTAACAAACATCAAGAAATTAAATAATTAAGATAACTTTATAAATAAGTGGTATGGCCTTCATACAGATTTTTAATCAATCTATGACATCGAGGTTCTTGTTTTAAATTCTGACTGTTCAAAATTCTAAAAAACTTAGAATTTTATGTTATTTTTGATACTCTTCTTAAAATCAAACCGTGACTTCGAAAAAAATGTCGCGGAAAAATAGTACAATGATATATAGTATAAAACATATGTATACCATTATATTTAAAAGTATCTTATATTTAAATTAAACAAGACAAATATATTTTTCTATGCAATAGATTTTACACAACAAACTGAAACGGGAAAGAATCCGACTATCGAATCATATTCCAACAGGTTAAAAATCTGCGCATTCAACGTTATGAATCATCCCTCATTCCATTTAGAAAGACTGGCAAAAAAGGCAAATGACAAACCATTGTAAAATTATAAGAAAGATTTTTGTACTATTTCCATTATCAACGCGCTACGAGAAGTAAAGAAGCAGAGGCATCGACGCGATAGCCTCCCATTCGAGCACAGGTAATCCTAAACCCATACAAGCAGCTATCGATCTCTAGAACTGACCTGCGATCTACGGCTGCTGCCGCCATCACAAGGCGAAAAATTATATGTTTTACGATGTAATTAATGAGCTTTGAGTCGTTTTATAAATATATATTATTTACCATTTACTGTAGATAACTGTTGATAAAAATTATTGATGATAAAGCTTGTCAAAAAAATTAATCTTTTGTATCCAGAATTTTACGCTGGAGGCGCTCGTGAGGTAAGTACAATTTCTCAATAAACTCCAGATGAACGATCTAATGCGCTCCAAGTTGGAAGCAACTTCAGACATGCTTCCTTCAGCAGTCCATTGGGTTTCTCCAAGTTGCTGTATTAGGATTCTTTGGTAATGATTTAAACTAAAATTTTTAGCACTTCTGCTATGAATTTGAGTTTATTTATGACTCACTGCATTGCCTCTGGCTTGCAATAGTCCAAATGCAATGGAAAATCAGATAATCGGTGAAATAAAATTCCATAAAATTAAAAGCTGCAAGAAACGAAAAGTATGTTTATTTTGTCGAGACATATATTATCGTTATTTTGTCTAGTTATCGAGACATATTTAAAGGTGTATAGTGTATACTTTATTGGAGAAACGATATGTCTTCTACTTTTTAATAAATATATAGACACATCTTTAACAACACTTGCTATTAAGAACGTTTCACATCCAAAAAAGGACAAACGTAGTTTTAACTATTATTTACGGTAACTAACAAATAATTCGTTTATTAAGTGAAAAATTTAACTTCGAGTTGCAAATCAGTTTACACAGAAACACTACCGCGCTGCTATATCTTTTCAAAAATTGTCTCTCCGAACTCCTTTATCTCTTTATCAACAAATTTTATTGTAAATACAAAGCATCACATAGAATCCATTTCCAATTGCGGAAATTTACTCATTGGGAAAAAAATTATATACTGTATGTCCAATGTCCATCTGTTCATAGTGCAGCCTAAAATTAAAGGTGACATTTTTGTCCATTTTGACGAATGATCTTCATACGCATATAAAAGCAAAACTTTTGAAAGGAGACGAACTTTTCTCGCCATTTCGTGAGGCGACAAAATTTTTCTCGCCAATTTGAAAGGCGACATTTATGTATAGCTGGACTCAAAAGGGACATATTAGGTTCACCTGATTAACTGCGGCTGCAGCTATTGCATGCAAATGTCTAGTGTCTTCAAATGATTCTGATATCTTAATGTTTATGCCCCACGATGCCTCCACACTCAACAGCCTTATTCGTATTCCATATATTAAATCTACATGAATACAAAGTCTTAATACATTCCTATGAATGCGACCAATTATTCGTAGAGCTACTGCAAGTTATTTAATA